AGCACTACTCCCCCCACTCACCCCCCAAAAAGCACTACTCTCACCCCTCACCCCCGCAAGCACTACTCTCACCACTCACCCCCGCAAGCACTACTCTCACCACTCACCCAGCAAGCACTACTCCCACCACTCACCCCAGCAAGCACTACTCCCCCACTCACCCCAGCAATAACTACTCTCACTACTCACCCCAACAAGCACTACTCACCACTCACCCCAACAAGCACTACTCACCACTCACCCCAACAAGCACTACTCACCACTCACCCCAACAAGCACTACTCCCACCACACCCCAGCAAGCACTACTCCCACCACACCCCAGCAAGCACTACTCCCACCACACCCCAGCAAGCACTACTCTTACCACTCACCCCAGCACTATATGGTAGCAGTACGTTACAGAACAAGAATACTCACCCCAGCACGAGAGGAAAGAATTAGGCTAATGGATGGAACAAGACTACACACTCCCACCGCCAGACACACCAGTCTCTGCTTCGTCAACAAACCATGTCAAAACAATTCAATTAGAATAACCCAACTTCGCTAACATTTAGGGCTATAAACAAGCCAAAACCAGTTCCACTGATAAATAGCCTCCTCAGCGTAGTCAAGACAATGTTAGCAGCTTTCACATGAAACTACATTTGAGATTCATTGGGCAGTGACGCCCGAATCCAAAATATGATTAAATATGACAGTAAATACGGAACAACAGAACATAAAACTATTAAAAATCATGGTGAAAGTACCAAGAATAACAGTACTGTATACAGACCTAATAATTATCCTAAGCTATAAATCCATTTCAGTACACTCAGGCATAACTGCGACTCTGTTACAACCAACGTGCGGAAATTGATCAGGACAAAATAAACGAGGGCCTTTCATTACCTGGGAAATCCTGAGGCAACACATGAGCGCGCACGCACGCACGCACGCACGCACGCACGCACGCACACACGCACTAAGCATTTAAAAAATAATCTTCAGGAAATGATAGGATGTCATGTTCTTGGAATAAGACATGATAAACAGTAACACAATATGGTGTGCAGGGAAGCCTGAGATTATCCTGTTTTCACCAAGCATAATGTTTAGGTTAACATACACACAATGTTATAAGATATTAACAAGGAACAGAGTAAATACCATATTTTCTTGACACAGTGTTTAAACAGGAATATATAATATATATATATATATATATATATATATATATATATATATATATATATTATATATATATATATATATATATATATATATGCAAAATAACCACTCTGAAAGAATAGAGAAATTCCAAGCGCTTTCGTGACTACTCACATTATCAAGGAACTATGATAATGTGAGTAGTCACGAAAACGCTTGGAATTTCTCTATTCTTTCAGAGTGGTTGTTTTGCATATTCTGAAATCACCTGTTTACTGTGATCTTATTGCATATATATATATATATATATATTATATATATATATATATATATATATATATATATATATATATATATATATATATATTATAATTATATTAGCGAGTCATTTATCATGTCACAAAGCGTAAAGCCATAAAACTGTCACTTGAACTGACGTTATAGGAACATAAGAAAGAAGGAATACTGCAGTAGGCCTACTGGCTCATGTGAGGCAGGTCCAAGTCTCCTACCGGCTTAAGCCGCCTACAAGCAGTGTGATAAACTACAGCAATGAAGTTACCAATTTGTTTAGGAGCGATACATGTCAGATTTAAAACTGATACATATAAATGAGGAGCTCGGTCATATATTCCTACGAACCTAACAAAAAAGGAGCACTATACATTATGCCTACTGATCCATATTAGGCAGGTCTAGCTCACATCAACCATTCCCATTCACTGATCTGTCTAACCCGCCTTGGAGCTTCTCAGTGTGTGCTTCAATGGCCATGAGTCCTCATTTAACATGGTGAAAACAGAGATGAAGTTTAGCGTTAATGCTTATATAAAATATTTCTCATATAATCCATGATAGTGTGGTGCCACATCTTCGAAATATGATTAAAAATAAGTTTTATTAAATAGTGATGAAAATTTAAGAACTACAGTGGAGATATGTAGTACTGCTTGACTGTGCTGGGTTATTCTATGTTAAATATAGGATTTACCATTACTGTATGCCAGTATATATGTGCCTTCACAATTGTTATAGAAATTTATATCTGTAGAATTATTTGTAAGCCTCATGAGTAAAAATCGTATCACTTCTTAATATAAAACTATTTGTAATCTCTAAGTCATTGTGAATGGACTCCAATGGAAATAAGTCACTGACTTTTTTGGGTTATCCTAGGTTCTTTACACATATGCTACTATGTATGATAATCTATGTAACTGTATATGTGTATACCTGAATTAACTTACTTATCCTGAGGCAACAGTTGTTAATGGGCTGCTGACGATCATGTTACATAGGCAATTCTCAATCATAAACGTTTGAGCACACTAACACTTGAATGTGAGAGGACCTAGTAGCGTTCAGTGAAGAGACGGGGCCAGGAGCTGAGTCCCGACACCTGCACCTACAATTAGGCAAGCACTACCCACCATCACAGTAGCCTTCAAAAGCCTCAGTGCTGGAGCCTTGGCCAAGAGGCTAAACGTAATATATCCATGTAATTGTAATGCATCGACAGTATGTATTTAGTCCCCTCTATATATCC